GCTGTCCCGGCCCCCCCCCCCGTCCGTCCCGCCAGTCAGCGCTGGCGGATCAGAGCGGGGAGGGGGGAATCCAACCCCTCCCCCGTCACGGCAGAGAGCCGTGACAGGATCGAGAAGTGAGCGAGCGCCGGTATGTGTTCGCTCACCTCCCGATCTAGTGAGCCGACGTGTGACAGTCTCATTGTCAGAGGTCGGCTAGAACTATGAGGTGAGTGGAAATCACTCGCCTCATAGTTCTCCTTTAAAGCAATGTAAGCCCCTCGTGTTTTTCTAAAACAATACCAAGTAATGATTTTAGGACAGTGGCAGAGCCCCAGGGCCCGGTCGCAGCTGCAAACTCTGCAACCCAGGGAGTTCTGCCACCAACTCCAAGCTGTAAAGGGACTACAAATCCCAGCAATACAACTTACAGCAATGCAGAATACCACCAGCTTTAGAGGACTACAAATCCCAGCAATACATTATACAGGAATGGCACCAGCTATAGAGTACTACAAAATTCCAGCAATACATTATACAGCAATGCAGAATACCACAGCAATGAACTATACAGCAATTCCAAATAGCAACTGGCTACAGAGGACTACAAATCCCAGCAATCCATTATACATCAATGCAGAATATGAAGCTACATACTCTATGCTGCTCTGGGATGCCAGCCTGTCTCCAGTGGAGGATCTCAGGTGGGCTGTGCGGGGTTGAGGTTGGTCTCGCAGGCGGGTGCAGGGTCTCCGGGGGCAGTTGCGGGTGGGGTGGTTTCAGGAAGGAGGAGGAGATTTGGGGCCGGCGTTGTAAACCGATGCGACGGTTAACAGGAAGGCTTGCCTTGCTGGGGACCTTGTCCATCTCCCTGCGAACAGCGGCGCCTGTTTACAGCGCCGGCATCCGTCTAAAAATGTTACGTGCCGGTATCGGCGCTTAGTATCAGGGTATTGTCACAGGAAAATGCCCAATATAGGCACGGATACCAGTATCGGTACATCCCTAGAGACAATCCATTGCGCTGCAGTGCTCAAAACAAAAAGAAGAAAGGAACATGTTAATAGGAGGAAAGAGCAAGGTGACAGAGATGAGCTCATCAGCCTGCCACATCATCTCATCATTATCCAACTGCCAGCTCAAGGGCAGTGATAACATCAAGCTGTATAACTTTACTGAAAATTCAGGACTCCAGGCTGCTCGTGCAGTATGACAGAGTTGTGTAAATGGCAGGACTGAATGGGTATACCCGCTCTGTGTTTCAGTGTCTGTACACCTGCTGTGCCCATTATGAAGAGCTCCCCTCATCACCTGTGCTGAGTTCCCGGGTCTGTACACCCGCGGTGCCCATTATGAGGAGCTCCCACCATCCCTGTGCTGAGTTCCCGGGTCTGTACACCTGATGTGCCCATTATGAGGTGTACCCAACATCCCTGTGCTGAGTTCCCAGTTCTGTACACCCGCTGTGCCCATTATGAGGTGCTCCCAGTTTGATGGGATTGCTCAGGCCGGCCCTCAATCTATAAAGTTGGCGGTTGGTTTACAATCGGATTGTAAGGAGTGTGCGCAGCCTAAAAATCAGCTTGGAAACACGTTCCCGTCACATCAATTATCATCATCTGTTACGACGTAGAAGGAGTCACTTACAACATGAAGTCTTGCTCCCAGCATGGCTGGTCCCCCCTCACGGTCACCGTCGTACTCTTAACATTTTGCACTTTCAGCGTCACGTACGTGTTGAATTTATCTACGAGAGAAGGAGAAAGTTTATTAGAAGTCAGCAGCAAGGCCCCTAGGATCATACAACATGGTCACACCACCAGGTAAAAGGCAGATATTGCCGATGAGATCAATGAAGTCCTCCATAGACAGGCGGTAAAACAGTAAATAAAAGAAGAAAAGTAATAAACATTAAGACATGGCAATCGTTTGACACACACACAGCACAGACCAAGCTACATGTTGTCTAGTTTGGGTTTAAAACCACAATCTTCCAAATTCTGAGGTATCACAGCTGCTATCCTGACATTACTAGAGAGCAAAAAAGAGCTCAGAGCAGTCTCTGCAGTGGCGTCACCAAGGTGGGTGCGGTGGGGTGCGGCCCGCACCTGGGGGACACCATTGGAGGGGTTCCCACCATTCCCCCTCCAAGGTTCCCACCATTGGAGGGGTGACACCAAAATGACTTTCATTTTGGTGTCACCCCCCATCTGAAAAGTCGGGCGCTCGGTCATGGACTGAACGCCCGACAGTATCAGGAGAGAGGAGGGGACCCGGCGGCATACCTCATCCCGCCGGGTGACTGGTACCTCCTCTTTCTGCCGGCGTCCATCACCAAGATGGCCGCCGTCAGGTATCAGAATACTGCCGCGCGTGCGAGATGAGGTCATCGCACACGCATGCGCGGTGACGTCTCGGCAGGGTGACACTCGGTTACCGCTCCGGGTGTCATCCAACCTCGGGACGCCCCTGAGTCTCTGTACACAGGAACTGTTAGATGAGGTGGCAAAAGAAACGGCATGGGTCACTTCAGTGCCAGGACAAGGTCAGAGATGACCAGTGCTCAGGGTTTTTCGTACTATAGGAGAACGTGTGCGCGCATCGGGACGTACGCGCAAACCTCTGGCGCACAGGAAGTGATGCAGTACCTGTAAATGGATCACCTTATTTAAAGCAAGCACGCCCTGTGTTTAGTTGCTGGATGGTCTTTCAGCTTCTCCCTGTGATCCTGTTCGTTCGTGCCCGATTACTGTTCCTGTGTCTTGACCCGGATTGTACCCGACTTCTGATGGCTGCCTGCCTTCTGACCTTGGAATTGTTACTGGACCTTGCCTCTGCCTCAACCCTTGTACTTCGCTGCCCGACTGTTGACCCCTGGCTTGTCTGACCTCGATTCTGCCTACCGCTCTGGTGCCCTGCTGTCCGCCCGGTGTGACCTCGGCTCTGATCTACCCGATCCTAATTCTGGACTTCTGCCTGGCACGGTGCTGTTAGGGTTGCCACCTGTCCGGACATTCCAGGTTTTAAACGTTGTGTCCGGGTTTCCTGACAGCTGATGTCAGGCAGACAGGGGCAACCAAAATTAAGATAGGGGCTACTGGCCCCCCACTGAAAATAGTCTCAGCTGTAATATTTCCATATGAACAAACCGCGACTCGTTCTCCGCCAAAAATTTCCGTGCGTCGGGTTTCGATGGAAGATAAGGTGGCAACCCTAGGTGCTGCCCCAACCGCTGGAACCCGTGCTACCTGCGGTTTCCCAGGCTCTATTCCCATCCCCAGAGTTTGGGGGACACGGGGTGCAAGGGAAGCCTCCTCATCCAACAAGTCTCCAGCCAGGTATGCGATAACCATGCTTATCTCAGCATCAGTGCACAGCTCCAGGTCCGCCAATCAGATGAATGTGCACCCAGTGAGGTTGTTGGACCTTCCTGCTGTGTATTCATTACCTCTGTCTGTCTCTTTGCACTGATTGCGAATAGTGACGCAATGGTCAGAGGCAAAACCCTTGGCATGGTATGCACATTGTGGTAAGAATCCCTGTCAGGTTTTCATGGCTTTGAGTCCTGCTGGGGAGATCGGTCCTCTAGGTCAGAGATGACCACTTCATCAAGACAGAAAGTGATCGGAAACAGAAAATGTTGATGTCACAGGAACAGGAGGTGAGGGGAACAACTGGTAACGGGTAGTCCATATACCTTGCCGCACTACTTACCGAATAAGGTGCTGGTGACACTTGCATATGTTACTATCTTGTAATAGGGACACGTGTTCTGGTGGCAACTGTTTAAGCGGGGGAATCCCTTGCACTTTGTTTTAGATATACTCATATTACATAACTTTTGGCCCAGGCCTAGAACATGTGAATATACAGGTGACAAATCCCTTGCTGAAATACACAGCTGTCTGCCGTTTGACATAAAGCGGTACAAGACGAGGTGCGAGATCACAAGGCTGGAAGGCGGCACAGATGTACGTCACAGCTCATAAAAATAACCAAATATCACAGTTTTCAGTGATTTACACATTCTGGACTTTCCTGGCACAGCTGAGAAACATTGGACTTTTAGCAAGGGACTCATTCATTAAAGCTGAACTCCAGTTAAATACAAAAAGGTGAAGCCCATCGAAGTGACCTGCTCATGTCCCAAAACATTTGCGATTCTGTACAGCCACTTCTGTGACTCGCAAGCACTATATGGCCAAATGTTTGTGGAAACCGCATCACACCCATGAGACTCATGGACATCCAGATTCAAAACCATGGCCATTAATGTGGAGTTGGTCCACCTTGCCCACCTACTTGCAGCTATAAAAGCTTCTGGGAAGGTTTTCCACCAGGTTTTGGATTGTGTCCGTGGAAATTTGTGCCCATTTGTGAGGTCCGGTTCTGATGTTGGATGAAAACCTTCCAATTCATCCCAAAGGTATTCAGTAGAGTTAAGGTAAAAGCTCTGTTAAGGTTTGCGAACTCCTCGACAGCAAACTGGTCACACCGTGTCTTTGTGGAGCTGGCTTTGTGCACAGGGGGCAGTTGTGCTGGAACAGAAAAAGGGGCCTTCACCAAACTGTTACCTCAAGTTTGTGGACACCTGATCATCACACCTATATGAGATTGTCGGACATTCCATTCCAAAACCATGGAATATATGTAGATGGCCCCACATTGTGGCTATCATTCATGTCCATTGAGCCAAACGAAAATTGGTGAGGTCAGGTACTGATGTTTTATAACAAGACGTGGCTCACAATTAGCATTTCAATTGATCCCAAAAAACATCAGGGACTTGCGCAGACCACTCAAGTTCCTCCACACCAAACTCATCAAGCTAGGGATGCACCGATACCTTCCCCGATACTGGAACTTACAGTCAGAGGAAAGTCTCCTCTGACCCGCAGTGCCGTAGGGGAACATAGAGCCAGTTTCCGGGGAAATCAGGAAGCCAGGCAACTAGTAATGGCCCGGCCAATCAGCATGGAGCCGGCTTCCCAGCCAATTAGAAAGCAGGGAGGTGGTTAATTTCAAGCCGCCCGGCTTCCTGATTGGCCAGGAAGCTGCCTCCATGCCGATTGGCTGGGAAGCTGGTTACCCGGCCAATCACAATCAAGCCGGCCAAACAACATGGAGCCGGCTTCCTGGGCAATCAGGAAGCCGGGTGGCATGTCATTACCCGCTGCCTATAATAGTCTCAACAGGTCACCGGCACACACACAGATGAATTCAATATCTCTTCGATATTTTATTGAAAAATGTCATGGCGTGTCATTAGAAGCTGAAACTAACGTTTTTCTGGACCTCGCAGGGACCCTTCATCAGAGCGACATAGTGACGAAGGTGTGTGCGCCGGTGACATGTTGAGACTATTCAGAGCTTTGCACGGCGCCATCCATGTGATCACCAGTGCACCACCACCATTGGAAGGTTGCAGACCGCAAGTAGTGCGGGTATTGCTTGGAAACAATTACCTGCTGCGTGGCTTCCTGATTGCCAGAGAAGCCGGCTCCATGCTAGCAGAAGCACCGGTATTGGTACTCGGCATCGGCGAGTAACGAAAGCAAAATATCGCTACTCGTGCTCGATACCGAAAAACAAGTATCGTTGCATCCCTATATCAAGACATGACTTTGTCGAGCTGGCTTTGTCATCGTCATGGTGGAACAGAAAAGGGCCTTCACCAAACAACGACCACAAGGCTGGAAGAACACAATTGTCCGTAGTATTTACAGGACCCTTCACTGGGAAGTCCCAAATTCAATCATCTGGAGGAATGTCCACATTCTTTGGGCCACATGGTGTATCCCGGCCATGCATAATAAAGAGGATGACTCTTTTACGCTGGGTTCACACCTTAGCGTATTGGAAACTCGCGTTTGCCACGCGTTTCTTAACCGGGCGGGTTTAACGGCGATTTGCGGTAAAAGAAACGCTCGGCAAACGCAAGTTTCCGAGGGGGTTATTACGCCCCCAAAAGAAGCTCCTGTACTTCTTTGGGCGTATGGCGTTTTACCGCGCGATCGTATGCGCGGTAAAACGCGCAGGTGAGAACCATGCCCATAGGCAAACATGGGTTTTCACCTGTTGCGCGTTTTACCGCGCGGTAAAACGCTCAGGTGTGAAGCGGGCCTTAAGAGTTGAAGAATACCGAGGTCTCCGCTGACTTCAGGACTTGGCGATGAAGGAGCATAAGCTGAAAAATCAGGTCACCCCCTGCTGGAAAATTCCCATCGTTGGACTGATAACACTGTACATTGCAACAGAGCCCTGACTGTCCAACACAACTGGCCCTTCCTGCTTCCGGTCTGACTTTTGCTATACAAGAATTACAGAAAGAGAATATAAAATATAAAAAAAAGACAAAATTTGGGGTATACAGGTGAAACTCGATTAGAATATCGTGCAAAAGTAATTGCAGTAAGTTCTGCAAAAGGGTCCCAAACCAAGTACTGAGTACATATGCATGCTTGTACTTTTCAGAGGTCCGATATTGTTCTATGTACTATCCTTGTTTTATTGATTGCATGTAATAATCTACTTTTTTGAGGTTGTGGATTTGGGGTTCTTGGGGTTTTCATGAGCTGTAAGCCATAATCATCACAATGATGACAAATCACGGCTTGAATTATCTTGCTTTGCATGTAATGAGTCTCTCTCATATATTAGTTTCACCTTTTAAGTTGCATTAGTGAAATAAATGAACTTTGCACGATATTCTAATTATTCGAGTTTCACCTGTATATATATTCAAAA